TAATGCAGTGATAATTTAGCGTAGTTTGTTTGAAATAATAGATGAGTTATACAATGAGTTGTACAATAATAAGCTGTTTTTTTCTCTTGCCTCTTTCTATACGTATCAGCTTTCTCTTTTTGGTATACTTTATTATGCTATCCCAGGATCTCTACGATGGATAATTAAATAGAAATAATTATTTATTAATATTTAATAATTAAATGTAAATTATTTAAATGTTAGTAACAATAGTTTAGAAATAATTGTGTTAACTGAATGTTTACTAAATGTTACTATGTCAATGTTACCTTAGATATTTACGAGTCCATCCGAAATTAAAGTACAATAATTATATAAACGCCTGTTATGTCAAGATTACTAAATTAAGCAACCTTAGTTCCTCGATTTTATATCTACTTGATACGTTATATATATTTATTATATGTATATTTATGTAGGCTACATAGTAAATAGAAATAGTTCTTTCAAGAGACTTGCATAAAAAGTATAAGACAGTTTCGTACGCAAGTCTTTCGTTCTTAAACATTTCAATAGTGATATTTAATGTAGATTCAATTAAGCAGATAAATAGGTGAGAAAGAACAGAGTATGAAGCAAAATAATGGAATTATTTTTAGTGAATTTTTTATTTTTTTTTGCATTAATTGACATTGAGATTGTTTTGTTGTATTTTAGGGATCAGAAATTCGCTATTCCGCCGATGGAATCAGCGATAAAGTCCGACGACAGAAGCAAGATATTGTTAAAAGTCGACACAAAAGCTAAATCGCAAATTTTGTACATAGATCAGAAATCAATTAAATTTTAAACGGCACACCTTGTTATTGGTATGTATGATGGGTATTTTCTACGATGCTGGCATCTGAGAAGAAATACTTTCTAACGAGACTGTAGTTAGATGCGAAGTACGATTTTTTGCAAAGCCATCGCAAACTAATGCAAAATAACTGATCTTTAGCAAAATATTTAAAAAATTAGGTAGCTTCTGTGCAATTGTTGTAGAAATGATCATATAAAAATTTTTATTTCTTAATATCAGCTTTCTAATAAGGTAAGACTGACATAAATATATATGGTATGATTATATAATATTTTCATTGAAACGATAATATAATACAACAAACATCGCCACGTGAGAATCACATAGCCATTAGGTGTATTTTATTGTTAGTGGCATTTATATTAGAAAAGCACGTTTTAAAAAAAAAATAACATATTAATTTTTACTGGAATTTAAATATTTATTATTATTTATTACAATCACAAGAATAATACTTATTTATGAATGGAACTTTTACATTATTATTACAAATTGCATTAGTTATTATTATATTATTTATAGTAAATTGATCAATTCTTTAATATATTTAATACTAATAAAAATTTGCTAATATTTTATATGATACTTTTGCTAATATTATAATACATGATACTTTATATGCTCATAAAAACCAATAAATTATTGGTAAAATTAATTGACATCTAATAGATATCTAATCTTATAAGAATATTGAAATTATTGATGAATATGCACATCCATAGTAAATGCGTTATCAAAATTATGTTGATATAAAATATTACAGGAAATACTAATATTTGTATGATATATAATCTGTTAAGTGAATTCTGCTATAATGCGCATATTAGAACAGAGACAACGTTCAATATAGTTGAACAATACGATACAAACAATACTATAGTTGACTACAATGAATAGATGTAAAAATATAAATATCAATAAGAAATGAATATAAGAGAAATATCTAAATCGGACATATTCAATTGGTGCTTATTTATCTCTGTCGACTCATTTGTCTGCAAACATGTTATCACATTAAAAAAACGATGCATTTATAAAATATTGTACAAAAAACTCAGAAATTTTCCATTTTCTCTCGTTAATAAATTGTTACATCTAAAATTTAATTTTTATAAAATTTAATTGCGAAGTATAATGTATAAATTATTTCTATTAAATGCTAAATACGTTCCGTCGATGTATATAATTAAAACTATATAAAATATTCTTTGGAATCTTATTTTAAATTCACTAAAAGTTTGGTTTGCGATCGAACGTGTTTAATTTTCGATATCAGGTAGCTATAAAATTAATTCTCTAGTGTACGTTCTTATGAAAGAAACCATCTCTTCTATTTCATCAAGGAATTCATTTCATCACGAACTGAGAGAAAATGCATAAATTCTGATCTTAAATATGTATATTAGAAGTGTTCTTTTAATGCAAATTAATATATTTTCTTAAATAATCCGCATATTTGCATGTTCACAATTCTCTCGCAATTTTAAAAGCTTGTGAAAACTAATATTATCAAAAATACACAGAATATTATTTTAGTACGCATTTAACAGAATAATTATAACATTGATCAGAATTTTTAACGTAAAACTAAATAATTTTAAGTAATTAAAATATTAATTCTTAATTGTTGCAGAAATATTTATATTCATTCAATTCATTATCAATATTGAAAGTTACACTATTATCGCTACAACTATAAAGTTATTTTTGGCGAAAAGAAATTCGTGCGTCGCGCGAGCGATAACTTTATTGTTTATTATGAAGTAACTGATGCGAGCAATAAATATTTGCTTTGTTTTAATTGTAATTTTAATAGTTTATAAAATTATTCCCCAATTTGATGTCTTTCGTTGGAACTGTTTCAAAAACGGAGACGTTTGCATCGTTAACACATATGTTACGGCTGTTTATAAAATATAGAACATATAGAAATTGTTATAAAAAGCAAACCTGTAGAATATTCAAATATATTTTATTGAAACAATTAATTAATATAAGCGATTTACGTGTTATTACATAATGTAGACTTTTAATGGCTATCTGAATCAATTTACACTGAGAAAGAAATTTACTAAATTTTAACAAATATTCCTATGAATAATTCTAGCGGAATATTTACTGAATGTAAACATATATTTATTAGATACAAGAACCGTTCATTTTTTTAATTTTTCTAAGTATTTATTTACCGTAAATATTTCGCTAGAATAATTTTTTTTCTCAGTTTAGAAATATGCAT